TAACATGTGCCAGAGAATCATGAAAGATGTTCCCAGTGTTAAAGAAATGTAGTTTCATATATCTATCAAATTTATCAGCAAATCCGAAAGCCTCTGTGCAGAACTAAAAATGATAAGTGATGTGTGTGTATGTGTGTGTGCGTGTGCGTGCGTGTGTGTGCGCGCATGTGTGCACACACAGATTTACATTTAGGATATAATTATTGACGAACCCATACATTTTCTCATCGTTAACTTCTGCCTCATGAAGTGGCTGAAAACAGACACCATCCTGAGTCTTTTCTACACGTTTTCCTCATCAGCACCCAAGAAGCCCTTCTTCTGGTAGCTGAAACTCACAAGTTTGAACACCCACAAAGCTGGCTGTGGACACCAGAGTTTCTGTTTGTAGAAAGTACTTTCTAGGTGAATTACGTTTCTCCAATTCAAAGAGTCAGCTTCTGAGTTAAACATTTTGTGCTGTGGAAGCACACGTTTGGACAGTGCAGCAGGCTTCATTTGAAATCGTTCGACATTGTCATGACTGACAGTTTGAAGAAATATTTTTTTCCCAGCTAAAAATAACTTTTGAAGTAAGATATATTAAGATAATTGATAACCTCAGTTTGGGGATAATAAAATTTATGCCAAATTTAAAGCCTGAATTATGGGGGCTGGAGAGATGGCACAGTGATTAAGAGCACTGGCTATTCTTGCAGAGGACTGGGTTTTGGTTCCTGGCACCCACATGGCAACTAAAAACCATCCCATCCATAATTCCAGTTTCAGGGGGCCGGACACCCTCTTCTGACTGACCTCCACAGACACTGCATGACACAGGAACGCTTACACACATGCAGACAATACACTCATACACATAAAATAAAAATAAACAAAATATTTTAAAATTAAGTTTGAATTAAACCAAAGTGCACCCTCATTTCTTTACAAGACAAATTGCTTTGGTTTACTCTCTGTAGATTATGATGTTGATAGTTACTGACCATATTCTGTCATTGGCCTTTGATTCATCTAACTAGAACCTGGTGAGACCAGCCTGTCCTTTCATTTTATTTGACAAAAAAGGGCGGGGAGGGGTGCTGAAGAGATGGCTCAGTGGTTAAGAGCTCTGACTACTCTTGCAGAGGACCTAGTTTTGATTTCCAGCACCCACATGGTCACTAACAACTATCTGTAAGTCCTGGTCCACAGGAATCTGACACCCTCTTTTGACCTCCACAGGCACTGCACAACATGGGTACACTTCCATACATGCAGGCAATATACTCATACACATAAAATAAAAATAATACATAAAAATTTTTAAAAATTTTTATAAGGGCTACAAATGTAGGGATTTAAGAATCCCAGATTGGAACAGGAGTCAATAGTGAAAGTATTTGCATATCAGCACAGCAAATAATAAACTGAACTGTACCAACAAAACTGCACTTGGGAACTTCCCAGGATGAATGTATACAATAGCTTCACACACTGTGTTCACAGACAGACACCTATATCCTCACAGCCTTCATCCTTGCAGGGTTAACACATGAGATCAAGCTCCTGCCCACTCTTGAAGGCCATATGTCAAGCCCAAGCCTAGGAGGGCAGTCATTATGCTACTGGGTGTTATTTAACACCAGGAGTAAACTCAAGGTAAGCCTAATGCTTTATTTCTATGTAAATGTAAGCATCTCTATAAAATGTTTTAAAAGTGGAAAGTTCCAGCAGGAGGAATGGCAGGAGGTGGCTGAAACACAACCCTGCCTGCTGCTGGAGGCCTCTTTTCTCTCACTGTTTGTAGATGGCTGTGGAATACAAATCCAATAGAAAGAACTCTTTTCTCCATTCAGTTGGAAAGTCATACATTTTTACAGAAGCTGAAAAACCCTCTGGTTTCATACTGTCATTCACAAAAAAATGACTTCCATGTAAGCATCATCGGATTGCATGTGGAGACTTTGTAAAGTGATATGCAGGGTGTTCGTCAGACTAGGGATCAGAAAGCCAGAGGTACACTGTGGAACTAATGCCTCAGCCGGTCTCTGGTGAGGAAATTATTATATCATATGACAGTTATGTCTCTCTGTCACTCTCACTTCTTAACACATCAGACGTTTTTAATGACACACATAAACAAAATTTTTCTTTTGAAATTCTGTTCCTGAAGCACCAACAGAATTAATGTAAACTTTGATATTTTAAATTAGAAATCCACCGAGATGCCAAGACTTTCAAAACTAAACAGAGTTAGCTTAATTTTTTAACATTTTTAGATCTCATGAAGATATTTCTGAATTTCTTTAAATGTTATACCCCAAATCTTCTAAGCCATATCTTAATAGCCACTGTATACATATACTTTGATAGCACAGAAAATGTTACTGAAAGTCCCCTGACCCCTGTCTTACTGTCAGTTAAAGAGATCACACAAAAAAGAAGCTAGCAAAAAGCAAAAATTTTGGAAGAAAATCCAACCAAATGTCAATAATCAGAGTTCAGAAATCATATTCCAAACCCACCAAGAAATTGCTAAACTCCTTAAAATTCCTGGTAGCCCAGACATTCAAAAACTAAAACATGCAATTTAGAAGTATTAAAATATTCCTGTCGCCTGCTGCCATGCACTGCTAATGGGTGTCTGAGATCAGGTACTGCCCCTTCATTGCTGCCTGATGAGATAATTTTGGTTTCCTTAAGAGTATTATGCCACTAGGTTTATTTTTGCCAAGAAACATTTTTTACTTTTTATTTTCAATGAAGCTTCTATTTGCAGTGACCAGCCCCAGGTTTGTTGACTTAAAAACTATATAAAAGGAAAGACTGACATAACTATAAGAGCTAATTTATTTAAAAATACAAATCTAGAGAAAATAATGTCCAAAAGCAGGCTAAATGAATCATTCATGGCTACTTTTATGGATACCTTTATATTAGTCGTAGGTAAAATAATTAAAACTCAACTTGCGTAAAGTCATGAGATTAAAAATATTTCCATTTTTTTGTCCTACGTATGTGGCTGGGTTACATTCACACTCTCTCTTTTTTTTTTTTTATCTATGTCTAATTAAAAAATAGCACTCATCCCTGATATAGTGGCTCACGCCTTTAATCCCAGCACTCCTGAAGCAGAGGTAGGCCCATCTCTGTGAGATGGAGGCCAGCTTGATCTACGTAGCAAGTTCTAGACCAGCTGTGGCTACAGGGAGCCCCTGTTTCAAAAAGACAGAGGAAACATAGCACTCATGCAGAAATAGACTGATATTCAATAGCTTCATAGAACATATTCTTTTCCTTAATTTGGATTTACAGGATAAAGTACCCATCTCCTACATCTTAAATTACAGCTTTCAGTATCTACTTTTTAGGTATTTTTTGAGTAACATTTTAGTCTCTTTATATACTGTAGTGAGAATAATTTAAACAAATAAAAAAACTATATTAAATCAAAATAGTTTAAACGTGTTTATATGAATTATAGTAAGTTATTTTATAGTAAGTTATTACTTTTCCTAATTTCTCACTTTTTTTTATCTGTAGTTTGGCTTTTTTTTTTATTAAATTAGAATTTTAAAATAGCAAATTTCTGCTCCTGTCTTCTTGGTGAGTATTACTAACACCTAGTAACGGTGATAAGAATAACAAGGTTACACTCAGCCTAAATTATCACCTGGTCGGTATCTTTAGCGACAAATGGAAATCGGAGTAAAAAACATTAACATACAAGTAAACTATGGAGGGTGTGTGCGTGTGTGTGCATGTGCGTGTGTGTGTGTATTGCTTTCTCATAAGTTAAATACAACCATAAATCTGAAACAGCTTTTGAAAATAAATATAATTATCAAGTTTTATAAAGGCAATTCCGATTTGTTATTCACATGGAGTATTTCTACCATAAAAATCACAATGCCTTACATGTGATTTCCTTGAGGAAAGCAAACACTTAAAAATGCAAAAAGAAAATTTGCATTTTACTTCTAAGTATAAAAATAAATTTATCTCCAAGGAATGGGAAAAATAAAGTACATTTAAATCATTTTATTGCACTGGAAGCTGCCAATTCGCCTGTGAGTAGTTTCACTGTAGATGAAAAGAAATCAAAATACAGGACAGATGTTGAACAAACCACATTTAAGTTCTGTCACACACTGGCATTTTTCAAGTGATTTTGGCTCATCTATTAAATAAGGTGCATTTTGCTTGATTTTGCAAAGGAAACATCAGGAAATATTTAAAGGCCAATTGCTGCCAATTAACTTTGATCAGTAAAAGTTCTATTCGAATCTTTGAGATTCTTCTCCTGTCTGAAATAACATACATTTATAAAAGCTAGCAAAACAACAACTTGATGATTAAGGCTTGTTGGCAGCCCTACCACAAGCTTGCTTAACGGTGAGATTTAAATAAACAACTGTCTCTATTAAGGAGGGAGGGTGGTGGAGTTTCAGTCCTGTTTTGTCATAATGGAGATCTGTAAAAACAATGTTCTTCATTGTTAAGAATGCTGCCAACCAAGAGTGTGCCTGCCACAGTTCATTCACATTTAGCCGTCCATCTTACAGAAGTTCCCCTGAATCATAATGGACCAAGCAGCAGTTAGAACATGAGGAGTCTTAGCAACCCAAACGGTAGAGGCCTGATGCAAAATATCTCCAAACAACTGACCAGTCAGTAAAACACCTGACTGCAGAGACCAGCAGGGACAGCACAGGCCACTGGCAGGACTTCTAAGCATGCAGATCACAACAGTGATTATGAAACAGAAATACAAAGCTTTTCAGAATAACATTTGCTACTCAGAATTCTTGGCTTAAAATTTTAATCCTTACCAATGGTCATATAGGATCCAACTTTGAAATGCAACAAACACCACAAAGGCAAAACACGTTTCCATATAACCACTTTGTTTCAATATTCTAATTCTGTATTAAAAAAACAATATCAGGCCATCATTTCAGAATCAACCACCTGTATTCAGACATGCACCATGAAAAGTGTATAAAACAATTAGAACTTACTTCTAGGTCATTGAAAAATAGATGTGTGTCTGCCAAGTTGAAAATCATTTCTTCCATTCGTAGTCCAAGGGAAACAGAAGTGGGTGGATCCTAAAAGGAGAATTTTACAGGTCAGGCACTTGTAGGCTCTTTAGGTTATATGGAAGATACATGTCACTTAAAGGGAGCCAGTCACAGGAAAGGTGGGAAACACAGGATACACAAGGACTTGGGTGCCAGCTGCTTTTGTTGGGCATCGCTTATTCAAATACAAATTTCATTACTTCCTATATAAAAGGTGTCTCAAGTATTGCTACTAAACATCACAAAGAAATATTTGCTATTCCAAATATTACAACAATGCAAGATCTATGGTTATTTAGACATAGAAAGAAGAAATGTATACCACAATCCATGAAGAGTGTCTAACAGCCCTGCCACAAATATCACAGAATATGCTCTAGATTAATTTCAAAAGTCAGTGAGTAAAATTGTACTCAAGATGAGTCAATATTGTTATTTGTATTTATTCAGTCTGCCTGCAAAATTCAAGTCTACTCAAAATAGAAAGTGGTGGCTGAGCTGACCACTTGGTACCAGGTTCGTCTTGAGGGGCTAATAACAACATTCATGTGACTCATTCAGACACCAAACATCTGGTACCATGAAGACTGGCAATGGAGGAGGTCCAGTGACTTTTTCCTAATGCTTCAAGTCTTGAACAGTCTGTCCCATACAACTGGCTTGAGATCTACTGGGATTAATGAATTTGGGGATGGGGATATACAGATAGTTGTATCTTTATTATAATATTGAATTTTAATGAATGATATCCAAGAATCAACATGCTTTCTAGTTGAAATATTTTATGCTAAGAAGAAAAATTTCTAGTGAAAAAGTATGTAAGGAATATAAAAGGAGTTTCTGAAGCTTTTATTTGCACTAAAAAAAAAACTACTTTACCTGTATGTCATTTTAAATAAGAATTTCTTATATGAACATGAATATATTTTTGACACAATAAACCTATGGAATAAATATAGAAAATACTTGTATTATCATTTAATATGTAAATTTAAAATTATTCCTTCTGGTAGGCCATACATCAAGCAGGGGTGTCTCACCATAGTCTTTGAGTCAAGAACATGAAACGAAAAGAAAACAACAATCCCTTTTATCACTACTGCCCAACAGGAGGCTGTGCACTTTCAGTACCGTCTTCTTCAGTCTAGATCGCAAGAGTTGCCCATGCTTTCGCCCACTGTCCACGTGTTAGTCTACCATGCCTTTGAGTACCCACCACGGGTCTCAGCAACTCCTGCTTTGGAAAGCAGAAGCCCTAGACCTAGGGGAAGGCCCTACCTCTGCTCTCTCATTGAATTATAGAATAGCAACAACAATAAAAATCTTGTCCCTTGCTTTAGCACAATCACAGGTGTTTGTGTACCCAGCAGAGAGAAGGAAGCTATGGTACAGGGATGAGAGAGGAAACACCTCATTTCCCTCAAGTCAATCCCCTGTGTAGGACCTGCAGAACAGGGACACAGTCTACCAGCCCCACCCACTCCACTTTGCTAACCCCACCCACTTTAGTAGTTCTAGGACCCCCCCCCCCCAGCACCACCCAACCCCTGCCTTCCTAGGTTCTGGAGGGGGGGGGGAAGAGAGTTCTACAGAACTACGATGTGACAGCATCCCTAGCCTCAATTTCCCTGCCAGTTGATGGAAAGGAGGCGGAAGTCACAGTAGTGCCTATTTGGAGGTTAGATTGGCAGAGGGGTAATAAAAGGCCAGGGTTTATAAAAGGACAGGCAGGAAATAAAGACACAGAGGCTAACTGAATGTCCAAATGAAAACAATTCTTGAAAATTTCCTGTCCCCCCCCAGCACCACCCAACCCCTGCCTTCCTAGGTTCTGGAGGTGGGAGGGAAGAGAGTTCTACAGAACTACGATGTGACAGCATCCCTAGCCTCAATTTCCCTGCCAGTTGATGGAAAGGAGGCGGAAGTCACAGTAGTGCCTATTTGGAGGTTAGATTGGCAGAGGGGTAATAAAAGGACAGGGTTTATAAAAGGACAGGCAGGAAATAAAGACACAGAGGCTAACTGAATGTCCAAATGAAAACAATTCTTGAAAATTTCCTGTGCAGTGATTCAGACTGCTTAGCTTTCTTAAACTGTCTTTAATATCATTTAATCTAAGAAAGTTCTTATGTTGCATAAGAATTTTAAAAACATTTACAGATTTATAGAGAAAAACTAACTCATTTACTCTTGGTTTTATGGGAAATTGTTCATGCACAATGATTCTGTAAATAAAGATCCTGGAAGAAGGTAAAACACAAACATCTAGAGCAGAATTAACTAGTAAGGGAAGTTCAAACAGCTGTTTATAAAAAACACACCTGACTAAGGTATATACTCTCTGTAGGTCAACCCAATGAAAATGCCCTCACTTGTCTAGCAACCTTGCCAATAAGTCTTTCCTATGTGATGACGGTAGAGAGTTACCACATTTATTTAATTGCCAACTGTGGAATTTATGTACCATAGCATTGTTACTTTTAAAAAGTCTTATTTCTCCTGGATATGGTTATTTATGTGGACATCAAAAGAATTACTCTATTGTTTGTTAATATATAGCATACTTTAACTTTTCTTCATAAATTACAGAAATGACTTGCTGGTCAGAACACTAATAAATTTTAAAGGCTTGTTCAGTCCTATGGTAAAATCCAACACAGATGTTGGCTTATTTACCTCTTATTCTTGTTCTTTTTTGTTATCCGCAGTCATTCTTTCATGGCTTTTATACCTGCCACTTCCTGGTATTGTTTTGAAGCATTTACACAGCAGGAGAACAGTTTGGCCATTAACTAAAAGGAGAGAATTCTGGAGTAGGAAGGGGGTCTTGTGGGGGATGCTGATTCTCAGACCTCCTTTATGTACAACCCATTTTAAACCAGATCTAGTAATCTCTCTGTGCTTCCCTCCTCTCATTCTCATTCTCTCTCTCTCTCTCTCTCTCTCTCTCTCTCTCTCTCACACACACACACACACACACACACACAGAGTTGAAATAAATGTAACTTTGAAAAATCACAACTCTATTAATTACCTGGAACAGCCTCTGTTATTTTCCAGTCTATAGGTTGCAAAGCAGAGTCCCAGAAAGTTCTTCCTCATAGACTTGAGGAACAGGAGCCCTGGTGTCCTAAAGTACTGGATTTATGTGTGGTAACTGATTTGGTGGATACAAAGATGCCCGAGGCTAGCTGCTTCACTCAAGAGAAAGTAACCAAAGGGCAGATGGACAGCCTGCAGGGATCTGCCTACACAATTCCAGCAACCAGAATTTTTCTCCTATCATGGTTAGATTTTATTATAGTAAATACTATTTTAATGGGTCTAAAATTTTTAAGCATGTCTGGATTAAAGACAAATGTGACAAGAGCTAATACTGAACAATTAGTAAGTTAGTTCTGGCTTGATGGCTTATTATGGAATACTCAGAAGAAACAAACCCACCCCTCACATTCGAGGACCAAAACTGAGACATGGAAATCACCATGTCTTTGGCTTAATTTTACTTTTCTTTTTTAAAAAAATTATTTATTTAATAACCACATACTTAGAAGAAGCATTTCATTACAATAGCATTGACATATTCAATAACAATTTCCTGAGCTAAGATGCATCTCTTTCAAAATTGGCTGCAAATTTTTAGGTTTACAGTTGAATTGTTACAGTTGTATACAACACTGTACTCAGTATAAACCCTAAAGACATAAAACTAAATGAGGTTTTAACCTTTATAAAATATCTCCATTTCATCATTAAAATATACAATTTCATACAGAAAAATTCATTTTCTTTTTGGTCTTTTTGAGACAGGGTCTCCATGTAGCCCCAGCTGTCCTGGAACTCACTAAATAGACCAGGCTGGCCTTGAACTCACAGAGATCTGCCTGCTTCTGCCTCTCAAGTGCTGGGATTAAAGGCATGCGCCACCGTGCCCGGCCAGAAAAATTATTTTTTTTAATTATTTCTTTAATAACCACACAACCAGAAGAAGCATTTCATTACAACAGCATTGACATATTCAATAACAATTTCCAGAGCTAAGATGCATCTCCTTCAAAATTGGCTGTAAATTTTTAGGTTTACAGTTGAATTAATACAGTTATACAATATTGCACTCAGTATAAACCCTATAAGTCATAAAATTAAATGATGTTTTAAACTTTAAAAAATATCTCCATTTCACTATTAAAATACAGTTTCATACAGAAAAATTCATTTTCAATACAATTGACACTAAGATGCACATGTGTTTCTAATCTCTATATATCTGATTATTACTAGTCACAGTCAGTTACTTTCTGAGCTCCTTGGCATCTGAGCATGGATATAAAGTCATCAGGTAGATTTCAATGGTAACGTTTTTCACATCCATCAATTATTAAGGAGAAAATTTTAATTCTTTGAAGAATTATTTTTTTAAATTTTTTAAAAATTTATTTATTTTTACACCCACTTCCCAGATAGCACCCACCCATAGCCTCCCTCCCCCCACTAGAGACCTTATACTCTGATATCCCTACTACTGTCTGCTATGTTGTCAGCACCCCAGACAATCCCCACTACTTGCCCTTCTAGTGAATCTAGTCAATCAGTTGTCAATATTCCTTTGGATAAGATTGGGGTCTGCTGTTCATTTTTCCAGTTCTATGCTGGGTTAATGAAAAAAGCAGTGCTCTTGTAGTAACAGATTCCAGGGCTGCAGTTATAAAATGAGTTCTTCTAAAGCACAGTGTTTTGTTATTATCACTTTTGAAAAATTTAGAGCTTTGCCTTTTGTTCCAAGCAACATCTCATTTTAGGTCAAACTCACTGTCAGATGTTTCCATTCTCCCCCCACCTGACCTTCTGGGGCACCTGCCATGGCTGTCTACTCTCTTCTTGACATTTTTCCTCTTCTGGTGTCAAGGACATCATCAATCTTTCTGAGCATCCTCCTAGAGTCTGAGCATTCATCTCCTGCTGATTGTCTCTAGGACTCTGGTATCATTCATTCATTCTGGTCTCACGCTCAATTCAGGCCACCTTGA